TTTGAGACAAATGAATTCTTGTGGTAGTCTATGATAGAAATCACTAATATTTATGGATTTAAACAATTCTTTCAAATTAGAATTTTGTCTTAACATTATTACTTCATTAGGAATTAAATTATTAATATTATTATAATCAGCAGTGAACGGACTAATAAACAGATTATTAAGACTAAGTACAAATGCCTTTAGTAACTTAGCTAACAGTTTGACTCATTAGTTACCCAGCTATTCATTATTATTAACTACTCTTAATTTGTGTTTCAATAATACAAAACTCTCTACAAAAACTGGGGACTCGCCTAAAAGACCTAAAACCAAAAAGACCTAAACTTAAATAACTAACTGACCAGTGGTCATTTGGCTTAATTTTGGTTATGGTAAGTTACGTGAGGTCAGGACACGTCTATTCCACTTATCAAATTAAAAATATGTCCATTGGTGAGTTAGTTATTTAAGTTTAGGTCTTTTCGGTTTTAGGTCTTTTGGGGTAGAACCGTTTTTGACAGCACACTAATTCACTCCAATCCATTACACTAAAGTTAGATGATTCAATTGCTGTTTTCAATGAGCACAACTTGGAGTAAACACATTTAACTGTATTATAAACATCGACAATAAGTCTATTTTTGCCCTGTATCTTAAAGTTAGTCGTTAAAAATGTTGGAAATGTCTGCAAAAAAGGCTAATTCATAAATCCATTGAGGATCTGAAAACAACTCTACTTTAGTAAATGTTTCAGAGAAAAACATGTCGATCTCTTTAATTAAATTAAATTTAAAAATCGTAATAAAAAGTTGCCACGACTTAACCATCGAACCTCAGAATAATAGATAACATCATTAAAATCTGAATCTATTTTCTTCAGATTGAAAAATATCACACATTAAAATATATTTTATTTGGAACAAATTAAAATTAATATGATAGGTACCTTAAAGGATATAAGGGCTTTATGACAGTTTTTAAAGACCTTTATAGCTTTGGAAAAGGGTGATTGAATATTAGATTCAACGGGTATCGATCTATAGATCATATGAGAATAGGAACTTTAAAACCACTTTTGCAAAATTCTATATAAATATATTAAATGAGTGACACATAAATAAATATAATTTATATACAAACTGATGAATGTAAAAAATAACCAAATATTTTTATTGAATGATTCAGTTTATATATAAATTATATTTATTTATGTGTCACTCATTTAATATATATATTTATATAGAATTTTGCAGTGGTTTTAAAGTTGCTATTCCCATATACGATTTGCGTTATTTAAAAAACTGTACGTGTAATATCCTTGAATTGCATTCAGACTAGTAATGGTATTTTTAAAGTCCTATATGACATTGATATGATATAAACCCGTTAATCATATTATTAGTGACCGTAACATATGATAAACCGTAACGTAACATAACATAATAAATAATTAATTTATAATTTTTAAATTTTATATTAAATGTATAAAAGAATATAAAATAAATTATTTTTATAACTTTTAAATTTTTATATTTAACAAAAATGAACGATAAAACTAAATTAAAACTTATTCAATATGTTGTATCATTCGTAACCATATTTCTCATAATAGTGTTGATTGTTGTATTGACTCAAAAACAGACAATTTATGAGCTGGATGATCACACACCACCGGATTACTCGCTAACATGCCAAACATCTGAATGTGAATCCGCGGGAAAGGCACTGAAAGCCAATCTCAAGAAATCGGTGGACCCGTGCCATGACTTCTATGCGTTCGCGTGCGGGGGTTGGGAGGCGTCCCATAAACTACCCGATGATAAAGACTGGTTAACAGTCATCGATACTATTAATGAAACATTTTTGTCAAACGTTAAACAATTGTTGTTTAAAAAGCGGTCGACANGTGACCTATGCCTCCGATCTCTATAAGGAGTGTATTGATGAAGGTTTCGGACATTCATTTCATTTGTAGTCAATTATTCATAACTTATTTATAATTGAGTTGTATTTGTATAGAAACACGTAATGCCCGGGGAGTGACTCCTATTATAGAAGCACTAAAATCAGTGGGCGGGTGGCCTATATTGGGACAGTCGGGTGGCTATAATGAGACCAAATTTGATTGGAAGGACGCGTTTGTGAAGCAATTCGTCAAATATGGCGTTTCATCCATATATTCATTGTCAGTATTCCCGGACTCTAACGATACTCTTGTCAATAGATTATACGTAAGTTTGTAACCTTAAACAATACATTGAACAACACATACAATATTCAGCTGAAATATGCACATTATTTACTATTTGCCTTATAGTTTGACAGTGACCAATTTGTCCTCAATTATTCGGCAATTCCACAGCCTAATGATGTAAGTATATATAAATTACACAATTTATCATTTTATTCAATTAATTATTACTGAAGAATACAAGATTAATTACAATGACCATGATTATTTAACCATAAGAATAAGCAATATGAAAATCCCGATTCGAAAGCTTATAAGGAGTTTATACTACAAACGGCACTACTATTAGGTGCTACAAATAATAGCCAAACTCGCAAGGATGTGGACAACATATTTTTATACGAAGAAGAACTAGCATTGGTATTTTTATAGAAACCATTTATCAATGACAAATTATTATTTTATAAATATCTAACTAAGATCTTATTAATTACAGAATGCTGATATTAAAGATGCCTTTCCAAGTTCTCATTACAATAGGATGTCATTTGTTAATCTCAACCTATTATCTAAAAATCGTCGAACCAACCAATTTGTCGATTGGCTGAACATAACAAACACTATATTACAGGAATTGAATGAAACAATTCGTATGAAAAGCGATGATCTGGTTATAGTGAGGGATACTTTTTATTATCAGTTCCTGCCAAAAAGTTTGAAAGTTAAAGGAATCAACTATCATATGAAACCCCGAGTGATAGCTAACTATATGGGCTGGAATTTTGTCCGCAAATTGGGCTCATATACTGATAAACAGTTCAGAGATATTGAACTTAAATTCAACCAACACTTTAATAAACAGGAAACGGGTGTCGATTTGCGGGGGACATGTATGGACAGCATATCATCACAATTACCATATGCTGTGAGCCGTCTATATGTCGATAAACACTTCACACAAAATGATAAACAAGAGGTTAGTAACCAATTAATAAAGTTAAATAATTTAATATATTTTTTCAATTGTATTAATTAGGCCTCAAATTTAGTAAACAATGTTAAGAAAGCTTACTATGAGTTAATTGAGGAATACGATTGGTTGGATGAAAACATCAAAAACAAATATTTAACCAAATTGAATGCCACGACTTTTAATGTAGGATATCCTGATTGGATTCTTAACAATACTGACCTGGACAATTATTATAAACTTGTGAGAACTGTTTATTGATTGAATTGATGAAATAATGAAGATTATTATTTAAAACAAATTTTATTTAACTATAGATTCAAAGAGTAAATCCCAAAAAGTCATTCGAGGCTATGATTTATTTACAAACTAATAATGTCTTACGAAATATGAGATCAATTAGACAACCCGTGGACACCATTTACGAGTAGTTACTGAGTATTTATAAGCAAACTATTAATTTATTAACTTTTTTATTATAATACTTTTACAGTTGGCCAGTAACACCATTAGAAAATAACCGCACCTACCATTTGAAGTCCAACACAATTAGTTGACAAATAAAATTGTTTATAAAATATTAGTATTTTTAACAAATTATTTATTTTAACAGCAATCCCCTTGGTTTTACTAAAGCCACCCTATTATGACAGTAGGGTTGAAGCTTATCTTAACTACGGGGCCATTGGATCGGTATTTTTTGAATGCCATTTGTATAGTCAATAACATTGTCATAATTATTTATTTAATTAATAGCTTGTCGGACATGATTTAACACTCGGGTTAGATGTTTTGGGTTAGTATTACAATGGGTTAGTATATTAATTTAAACGTAGTTTATAATCAAACAATAACATTGTCATAATTATTTATTTAATTAATAGCTTGTCGGACATGATTTAACACTCGGGTTAGATGTTTTGGGTTAGTATTACAATGGGTTAGTATATTAATTTAAACGTAATTTACAATCAAAAGACCAAGCTGGAAATATAATCAATAACTGGACACTTGCGACAAAAAATGAATTCAACAACAATTTTGATTGTTATTTAAGTCGATACGCTTACGAGTTGGCCAGGGATGAGATACAGCATAGTATGGTATGTGAATGTAACTTATGTTAATGGGTTGGCATTTGTGTCTAAAAATGTATTTTGATTTTCTGATTATTAGCGAAACGAGACGACAGTCCGTGTGAACCGTTTGCGAGAGAATATTGCGGACAACGGAGGCCTCAGAGAGTCGTTCCGCGCGTTTCAGACGTACGTCAAGACATACGGAGAACCACTACGACTGCCATATGTCTCGCAATACACACCACAACAGATGTATTT